TAAGGTGGATCGATATTCATCCATGTTCTTTGTGCGAGGAGCCGGAAGTCTCCAAAATCTACCGGGTCGCGGAACGGAGGGCGAAAGGGCGGTAAGCCCGGGTTAACCCGAGGGCTTTCCTGGAGATTTCCCCAAACAGGAAACTTACACTTAGATCACAGGCACCTTGACTATTGATCCTGAGCATTCTGAAATTCATGTCAGCGGTTGCTTGAGTTGTATCGAGATTCGTCTCCATTTCCTGCGAAAGCTGATCAATGTTCCGAAGTTGTCGAAATGTTGTTTTATCAGGAGCTTGTAGTGGAGCGTCAGCTGGAAGTCGAGCTTGCATTGTTGCCATGTACAGCTGTGAGGCTGGCCCACTCAAAATATTGCGCTCAGCTAGCATAGCTGCTACACGGGAAGGTGGCTCTTGGAAGGCTTTTCAGGTACCTTGCGTATTAAGTTTTCGCTCTTGGTTCTGGTGTTCTTGGAACATAAACAAAAATCATTAAAACAAAATCAGACTGACCGGGTAGGCGAAGGCGAGCTAATTCCCAAGATCTGGCGACGCGACTGGAGAAATTTTGCTCGTCCAACTCGGGAAATTCACGTTGTGGGGCGTGCTTGGTGGGCTTGAGATAGACGCTGAAGTCATCCTGCCAATCGTTTGGCAGACGACGAATGAATTCGGTTGCTACTTGAGCCTTGAATAGCCTAAAGCCACGGTCAATCTGAAAGGAGAAGTTGATGGGCTCGGTCTTGTTTCGGCACGAAGTGAGAGGATCGCCGTTCTTGATGGTAAGGCGGCAAGTGAGAATAGCTGGTAGTGGAATCGACATTGTAAAACTAAAAGTGAGCCTTTAAGCCAAAGGATGCCAGGGCGTGGGAGAATACCCACGGTAGAGCTCGACAAAATTTAGGAGATCATGTCAAAACGGGATGGAATTTTGCCAAATGTCATAAGATGTGGACACAATCTGTTTCGGTTTTGTTAATCTATCTTAAAATTTGTATTAAAACCATGATCTGTATATTTTCAATAAAGTAGGGATTTAGCCAATCGAGAACGTTTATGCCCAGGGAATTATCCCATCTGCCATCCGCCGAACGCCGATTGGACAGAACCTCCAGGTGGTGCAATTATTCCCGAAAATCCTATCCCGACTGATCCATATGAGACTCATCCCCGAAGGGATGTGGCGTGTCGACCCAAACACTTGGTTATGTCTCCGATCCGACGTAGGACTTGCACACGACACTTACCTCAAGCATCGAGCTCCCTACAGGCATGGGAATTGAACCCACGCCACCTGTTAGCTGACGGGCTAATCAGGCGCATGCAAACCAGTTGCCCAGAATGCATACTAATATGTTAATAAAATTATGTCAAATCTGGTCAAATATGTCTTTGATTGGCATCGTCTTTTTTTTCGTCAAAGGGTTAGGCTAAATTTTAGTCGGAAGCACCCGATCAGATAGGAGATCTTCCGTAAGGCCCTGGTCTAAGTAAACTTGTTCCGAGAATAGCAGAAGGGATTGGGGTTGGATCAGAACGACATTCAGGTCAGAGTACGTGTATTCTGGATTTGGCTCCGAGACAAGTGTCAGGTCAGGACGAGTTCTCAGTGTTTGAAGCCGGTGTACAAGTACGTGAAATCCAATGCAGTGTATAAAAGCAGAACATTATCTCATTTCCGCTGCACTCTCCTCCAGCTCAATGGACTCACACGACTTAAGACCTGCTCACACCGACCAACCCACGCTCCACGATGGAATTGATCGGCTTCCGATATTGCCATCCATTTTGACAAGCTGACTTACTGCCTGATAATGTGTGAACCAAGAAAGCAGCACACAGAGTGGGCAGTTGGAGCGAAATGTTACTGTGGCAGAGAAATATTACTGTGGCAGAGACAGCAAACTCGTTCCGGCTTCAGAACACCTCCACAAGGTGTTCTGAGAACCTCACACAGAACGGTATAAACTCGGAGCGCGTACCGAGAGTCGCTCTGCTCTCAGCCAATCAAAAGGCAGAATTTTTAGAACGAGTTTCGGTTTTTTCTACTTAGACCAGGGCCTAAGGGCCATCTTCCTACGTAGGACCATAAAACTGAGGGCGTTTTGGCAGAAAGGCACAATAAGTGCGTCAAACTCAACCGTGCTTCTACCGAATTCGAACCTGATACACTGTGCCGCTCGAACAATTTATGACAGTGTCGCGCCTTTACACGAAGGAGCTCTAATATTTGAGCTGGTAATTCAGATAATTTCTGCTCATATCCCAAACCAACGTTTTCAACTCAAATCGGAAATTAATTTACTTCAGCACTTGAGCTATACAACAGACCAAAAGGCTTAAATTCGCCAAGATAAATGTGTCTCGAACACCACGCAAAGGTTTACATTACCGTATTCCTTATGTGATTGGCGACGCTCGGTCATTAG